CAACGGGGCGAGTCAATACTTTATAGTTCGAAGTGAACTCGCTCGCTTGCTCGTACTTCGCTATCACCCCCTCGTCGCGCCACTCCCTTCGCTAGGAGCCGTCGCGAAGGGTGCCAAGAGCACCGGGGGCTTTACATCGCTCCTCATGCCCTTTCTGCCCATCACCGCACGCAAGTACGACGACCTACGTATAGTGAGTTCTGTCGATCTGCGAATGTCCTCTACATATACGAAGACTAGAGCATATAAAAGAGAATGACTCGAGAGGGGGAATTTGCTAACATTTATTAAATAACGAGAAATTGATTTGACAATTTAATTTTATAGAAAATAATTCAATTTTCAAGTTTCAATCACGTATTATATAAGAACAATTGTTAATTCGAACTTTCTCAATTTACTATGTTTGCCATTTTGATGGAGAGAGTGCAATCTTGAATGTATAAGAATATATTAAATTAAAAAACTTTATAAAAATTTTACGTCACGAAGAAATTAAAAAAGTTTGTAAAAGAAAGCTACGTTTTTACATCGCATATTTGATTATTAAATCGCATTGATATTTTGAGTATTCTGAAGGTAATTTAAAGATTATGAAACATTTATACAATCCACTTCGCCATACTTATTGTAAATTTATTGTTAGAGGCGCATATTATTAGAAAATATTATATAATATTTAAATCTCTCTTATATAGCAAGAATAATCAAGGCTCTTATAAGATAATTATAGACCTAAAATAATTCGCGATATGTGCATATTTTGGGTCAAGATGTCGAAGCGTCTAGTAAGATAAAAACTTGCTGCGTTGTCGCAAAAAGTAATCGTATCCAATTCTCATAAAAAATGAATAATTCTTAGATAAACCTCCGAGTTAAACAATCATAACAGAAAATACGAGACGCGAGATATAAAATGTTTTCAACGCAGAATATTTAGAATGATATCTGACACTGTAAAAAATTGTTTGATAGCAATTAGCGAAACAACGCAGCGCTGTTACGTAAGGTCCGTGACCGGAAGGGTGGCGAGTATTACAGGGCGGCCGTCTCGGAGGGGCGAGGTGGCGAGTATCTAGGTCTGTGTAACGATTTTTAGAGATCCCTTTACCCTTACGATCGTTCAGCCCATAAAAAACTTGAGGCACCCCACAGTAGTCGAAGAGCCAGGGTTTCCATAGCGACGAAGCCCTTTCGCTCTTCGCCCGCAGGGCCTCCTTTGCCCTGTTCTGCGGTAACCTACCGGCTGCCGTTGCCACTACCCTTAACGCGTCGTACCAGCCTCGAATCCCGGAGATATACGTCGTAACATGAACGCGACATAGCCAGCCCAGGACCGATGGAAATTGTCCAGTCGATCGCTCGGCTAAATTTCTTACCCTTCTACATATATATATATATATA